CACACTTGTGTGCACACAGGCACAGACATACAACTGCAAACAATGTGTCTTCCAACTTTAACACCAGACTTCATTTTGCCTTTGAAGGGGGAACCTTGGGGACCCCCACTCATTCCATGCCCATTTTCCAGGATAGGAAAGCTGTACACAGAAGCAGTGACATAAAGTTATTCAGAGTCTCACTCTGGTAGTCATCTACCACTTGGTGGTCTGAAGCAATTCATATGGTTTCCCAGAGACCCTAACTTTCTATCACAGCATAGTTTATCCACTTGAGACTACTACTAAACAAAAAACAAAATGTCCAAATACTATGACAGAAATCCAAACATTGCAGACTTATTTGAAATATACTTTTCAGTAACTTCCCAGGTAAACATGTATTTACTTTTAAAGCTATTCTGTCTTGAATTTCTAAGGATCTTCACAAAACTGAATGATATATTCTGAATTTTGAAAAGATGTAGCTTCTTAGGCATATTTTACAGTTTGAGAATTTTCTAAACAATTACCACTGGCTTATTACTTTTGTAATTAAAATACAGATTTGCTGTTATGCAATTTAAATTACTTTTTAATTTTACCTCACATCTGGTAGGAACTATAACAGATTGAATTATTTGTGTGTTTATAAATATGTATAAGATAATTATGTTTTTCAAAATTAGGATGTGCGGAGTTTGAAGGTAAATTCACAGTTATCCTCAAATATCTTCAATGTGTATGTAGATCTTAATTTCAAATCTTATAGCAAAAAAAATTCAATATTTAGCCAACTTTCAAAGCATGTCCTGAATAGATTATTTTGTATGTTAGTGAAATTAGTGTGTCATTTCCTTTGTTAAAAAATCTCCGTTTTCCCTCCACACAGTGAATATGGCCACAAGCAGGCTAATAGGGGCCGTGGCGGGCACCATTCTGGCCCTGGGGGTGATTTTTGGAGGCACAGGGTGGGGAATAGAGTAAGCATCCTTGCCAGTTTCAGAGTGTTTCTGTGTGGTGCCTGGTGTGTGAGGCGATGCCTGTACCTGACCCCATGTCTCGTCCTGTTGACCGTGTTTCCTGTGGTAGTGCACCTTGTGGTGTGACTTGGATATTGCTTGTGTCCTGTGGTTTTCTTTTGTCCTGTAGAACCTTCTCCTGTCTGGAACAATGTGGGGCATAACATAACACTGGGTGTGCTTCCGATATCTTCACAATTAAGGCAAGAGTCCCAACACTTCCATTGCTCCTCCACTTTGTAAAAGTAATTTTAAAATACAGACTTTTTTTTTAACCATTTATTGGCAAAGATACTTTTATGTGTGTGTTTTCTTAGGATTCTTGTAATAAAGTTAATCTGTGCCAGTCAAATAAACTTACATATATAACTAGAAATTATCAACAGTTATAGCACCTTTTAAAGGTGATAAAAATGATAACTACTAATGTTTTCTTCATGTATTTAGAATGACATAGGAGGCTGCAGCTTAACTTTTTAAAAAGGAGATATTTAGCATACTGCCTTCCTATTTTTCCTGTAAAATAGGTTAATAATTCAAAATTGAAGTCTACATAAATATTTGGAAGCAAGGAGCATTAAGAATGAAAAAATATTTAATCCAAACCTGTATAACCATAAGTGAACAGCTGCAAATCACCTGGTGGGTTGGTCTTAAAAGTAGCCAGGGTATAAATAAATATATTGTGTGCCACTTGCCCATTAAGCTGTCACAGAAATACAGTTCTCCTGATGCTTTGATTTAGGGTGCTCTGTACTTGATCCACATCCTCAGAATAGCTGTCAGTTCTCCATGGGACACTGCTTCCTAAGATTGCTAATCTGTAGATTAAAATATTATCATGATTTTTTTCTTCTCTCTCTAATTAGAAAAAGAATATTTAAGAATGGCAGACATAACCCTTTACACAGTCTTTTCTATCTACTCTGGTGGTGGTGACACTTCAAAGTGGCCCAGGAATGAATTATTAGTATCTTCAGGAATCACTAGATATCTTTTACTCAGCCACCCCAAATCATGGGCTTATTGTGAATATCAGACAAGTTTTTCTTTAGTTCCATTGGTTAAAACAAATGGGTGCTCCTCTTACGTACTGGAATTGGGAGACCCAGGCACCAAAATAGCATTAAGAGGGAAGCAGGTTCATAGGTCACACCTTGTGTTGAAGATGACATGAGTCTTCTTTCTCCTGGATTCAGGGACTTTGACCAGACTTTGATCTTCCAACTCACAACTCATCGCTATGGACTGTGAAGCTGGTTAGCACAGGGGAAGCTAGAAATACTAGAAAAGAGATTTTGTTTCTCCTTGTGTGTTAGAAAACAAAGACCATAACAGGGATAAAAATATTTAGAGACAAGAACTTTGTCCTGTAAAATTTCCCCTTGGATCTGTTGACTGGGTTATATACAGAAGAAACATTCCTCTTTCAGGGCCAGCTCCATGCATGCATTTATGTGAAATTCCTCCTTGACAAATGTTAGTTTTCTGAAAATCATCCCAAATGCATTTTTTAACATTATACATTGGCTGTAACTTTGGTGTCCTTAAATGTACTAATAGAAAGGATGAATTTAATAATCCTTCCTTTAAGTCTTAGAGATAGGTAAAATCAAAGAGGCCTTTCTTGTAACATATAGTCCTTGTTATCAGCATTTGTTTTCATCAGTCATTTCCAGTTTTGTTCGTTTGTGACTATTTCTAATTGTGACAGGTAAGTCTGTGTAAGTGTATATATATTTTTTCTAAAGATAGATTTGTTATTCCTAGTTTATGAGCACTAGTTGTCTCTTAGCTTACTGATTTTTTTCCCTTCAAATTCCAAGTTTTAGCATAATTGCTCAAGGAGTAAATATAGTTTTTAAAAAATAATGTAGTACAATATAGATTGTCTTAACATTTCTTAGTTTAACTGACAGAGTAATGTTCATTCAGTCACTAAGAATTCCATGGGCAGTTTTTTGTTTTTGTTTTTTTAATTTCTACTCCTTAGTTTATAAGTCAGGAATCATTTTTCATGAGTTATGTATTGATTCTAATCCTAACCTATGTTTTCTGAAGCTAACTAAGTGTAAATCATATCCAAAGCATAGAGTATGTACATGGTTATATATTTTTTAATGTTTGTTTTGAAATTTGATTCTCTGTTGAAATGTGGGGAGGAAATACATGTAAATGGAATAAAGTTTCATTAAAACAGAAGTTAGCAAACTTTCTGTAAAGGGCCAGATGGTAAATAGTTTTAGCTTTCAGCCTACAGGGTTGTCTGTCACAACTTCTCAACAATGCTGTCTTAGCATGAAAGCGGCCATAAACAATATGTAAATGAATGCGCATGGCTGGGTTCTGATAAAACTTTTTTGCAAAAACAGACAGTGGGGCTAGATTTGGTCTGTGGGCTCTAGTTTGCTGATCCTTGACTTATAGGATATGTTTTAGAGTCAAACAAATCTGTGTTCACATCTTGCCACTATCACTCACTAACTTCTAGAAGCCTCTGTTTCCTCATCCATTAAACAAGGATAGTCATAGTTCCTACCTCATATGATTTTTGTGAAGATCAAATGAGATACTATATGTCACGTGCTCAGAACTGTGTCCAGCACATAGTAAGTGCACAATACAGTAGCTAAACTATTTTTATGGCTCTCATTATTATTATTATTGATGTATCTCTAAAGGCAACTGGGATTCGTTCTCTAGATGGTCATTGGTTAGTCTTAAGAGCATGTCACAAGCCCAGGAGCCTGAAGAGACCTGCACCCCTGAGACTGTATTGCAGCTGTTCTCTACCTGCCCACCAAGCCCTGGGTGGTCTCTGAGTAAAAACACGTTATGCATATGCAATCTGAGTGCCGCCAAAAGTGACATCCATTTATGTACACAGTTGAGGGCACTGATGTGAGCAGAAAAGAGAATTTTTTACACAGAAATGAATGTATACACAAAACTCAGGGATTTTAGAGAAACTGGCAACATTGGCTTTGTGATTCTTGGAGCAGGGATAGATAGGACTGAAAGTATTTTGTTGTTAGGGGACATTGTACCTGCATATTAGCATCCTGAAGGATGGGATATTTAAAGTAATTATTATACTAGGTTTAAAGTTGCTTAGATTTTAAAATGCTGAGCTTAAGGAGAGTGAGTGAGTGAGTGGACAGGAGTTACTAGAATATGGATTAGCTCTTACCCTTAGCAATTGATAGAAATGCCACCTTGTCTTTTCTTTCTTACTGTCCTTTGGCTCTCTGCTTTTTTATATCTCTAAGCCTCAAAGTTCTGTTAATAACAGTGGGAACTTTAAAGCTATTCTCAGTTGAATCTAAGGAATCTTTTTACCATTTCCCCAAAGTTACCCAAATGAGATTTATGCTTCCTTATATCTTGCCTTTGGAACCCCATTTTGGTCTTTACCACTGTAAGGACCGTGAAGAAGTGTATCTTTGAGAGCAAGGCTTCAAAAGTCAGATCTGTAGTGATGACTTCCTTCTGACTGCTAAATTTTAACTGTCTCCAAGTGGGGAATTAAAAAGTTAGCATTCCGACCACTTTTAGGTGCTTTTTGGAAGGGCATTGTAGCAGAATGTGTTTCCTTTCCTCCATGCCCCCATTTGTCAGTCAGATGGAGCTAATCTGAATGCAATGGTGTTCTCTATGTGCTTTTACTTATTTGACACATGATACTTGGAAAAGGGAAGAGAAGAAGGATGTGTAAAGACAGTAAGTGGGGCCTATTTGCTTCCAATTCTGTGAAAGGTGAATTTAATGGAACTGAATTATCAGTGGTACAGAAACTTTAGATTTAAAGGCATGTAAATCCAAGTAACGCTCACCATGGCATCTAAAGTGCAATTAAGCTAAGTAAATAAAGGCAATTTTAAATGTTTAGCCGTCTTTTACACAGGATATTTACTTCCTGAAACTGCTTAACTGCCTTTCCCTTGTGGTAACGAAAGTGGTTGGTTCATATGACTCTCTTCCCATGATCCTTTGTCACAGGTCCTAGTGCCACCAATCTCATAATAGGCTCCATCGCTGGTGCCATCCTGGTAGCAGCTATTGTCCTTGGGGGCACAGGCTGGGGATTTAAGTAAGCAATGCCGCATGTCTTCTTCTCAGTGGCTCTGGCACTTCTCTTTTCTGCTTACATAACCAAGTTTTGAGTTCCTGCTACAAGAGCTTAGGTTCTATCAGTCAAACTGCAAAATGTAAGTCTTTTTATTCAGAAATGGGTTAGAAGTGAAGAAACACGGACCCTTAACTGTCATTTTTCAGGCAAGTGGGAAATGTAGAAGGAATTCATATACACTGCTTTTTAAGGAGAACAAAGAAGTTCTTCAGTAGAAGACAGTCCAGCTTTTAAGACCAGGCACTCTGAGATACATTCATTTCTACACAGGACATCGAGGAAACCATGTAGTTGGAAATAAGTGGATGTAAATTGCTTGTATCTGTTTAAAACTTGTTTGTAGTCCACTGATATTTTGAAATTTTCACCACCTGAGTAATCACGCAATCATTACATGTATTTTTCGTATGTAACATAGTATATGTAGCTTTGTGATTTGAAAAGCTTTATAGTTTAATAAAAACAGATTTTAAAAGTATTTGTGTAATCCTCAACCAACTGAATTGGTTTTAAATCAGAATTTGAAAAATATGGCTTTGTGACACTTAATATTTTTAATGAAGGACTAAACATTGACCTGATAGGTAGGCCTGGTGTGTTTTGTTAGTGACCTTTTAGTTTGGATTGCACACTGCTTACTGAACTAAGATTGTTTAAATAGGCACACTGGGTATTCACAAATAAACTTTAATTGTGATCAAAATTTTGAAACGTGATTTATCCAGGCTGGGATTTCTACACTCCAGAATCATTGTATAATTGCTTTTTATACCTTTTCATGCTATAGTGGCTTGATGATTATGATTTGTAGGTAAGGCCTCCTATGCCTTCTGTGATCAATTAAGTTTGAGCCAGATTTACAGAAACAAATTTAAGTGGGAAATAAGACCATTACCCAAATTCAAAACCCACTTTGCCTCTATCTGGTTACTCAAAAGAGGAAGTTTTTGCCCTGAACTATCTGAATAATTGCCTTAATTATAAACTTTATATGTTTTATATTTGGGATTTTGGATTCAATATGTTTCAGCCAGCTAAAGTGTTATTTTTAGAAGCTGATTAAAGAAACCAAAGATGATTTAAATACATTCAACATTTTCTGCTAATTTGTTATCATATTAAGAATTAATGAGTAAGCCTACAGTTTTTGAGTGCCTTTAACTTGACATAGTATTATAAAATTATACATCTTTTCTCTTAGTATGTTTATAGAGTTGAACTTGTTTAGTGAAATAGTTTTGGCATCAGTTTCTTTTCAAAAACACACACATAAAATGGACAACTCATATTTACATTTATTGTTTTGGTATTAATAAAATATTGCCCACATAGTAAGTCATGCATGTGGCATCTAGTAAGAAATATATTTTCGTTTGGGCGGACCTAATTCAAGCAAAATTTTTCTTAGTGTTCCACTGCTACAAAAGTCATTGAACATTATAGTACTGTCATACTCTTATTTTATAGTGCTTCCTTGAACTTTTTCATAAGTATGCCTCAAGAAAAATAAATTTGGATCATGCCCAGGCTTATGCCTCATTTGGCATTAAGAAATCCCGGTTTCAAAGGCCTGGAAAACAGTCTATTACACATCTTTGCCATCTAGCCACATGCAATGCCAAATTTATCATTGCAGTGTTTGGAGAGAAGAGCACACTATTCTGTAGCAGGACCTCAAAACAGTGGCCTGGCCTAGCTCACAGCTTGAATTGCATGTTTCTTTGGGGAAAAATGGAAAAGCCTTTATCACTGTGTATATAAGTGGATTAGGCCCTGTAAAGATTATTTATATCTGAGAGAGAGAGAGATCTCATTATCACAAGAGCAGAAAACAAAAGGTGGGGGATCAACACTTGGTGAGATGAGAAACAGCTGTTGTTGACTCTTCCCTGGTTGTTGCTGTGTAGGGACCTACCTGTACTGCTGAGCTAAGCCAAAGCCCCTTCCTGTGCCCTATAACTCTAATAATCACTTTCAGGGAGAATTGTGTGGAAAGCCACACAATAGGGTGAGGTATTTCATGCCCTGAAGCAAAGAAAACGATGAAGAATAATTCCAGAACATGTAACTTTAGGAGTTTAAATTTGGAGAATGTGCTACTCCTAGGTGTTGCTACGTGAGGATCTTAATTTGCTTTAGATTTTAGTAGTAGCTGTGTGGTTTGTGTTCAGCTTTAAATAACACTTCTACCTCGTAATAAAAGGCTTTTGGTGCTGAATGATAATGTTTAGATTTTCCCACCACTTGGACAGTTCTGGAGATTACTAGTCTGGAGACAATTCATAAGTATAATTATTTGCTATTTGAACTGAAAGTCTTTGAGCCCAATGTAAATGTTTAATAAGAGATTCCTTTAGAATCAGAAGTTGAAAATAGTTTGTACAAAAGATTGTTCTAAATATTGCTATTGGGAATGCCTCCTGATATCAGGTTTTTATTTCTAGAAGAAAAGTTGGTAAGGTAACCTGAACAATTTGAGGGCGTGTCAACTTTTTGATTAAAGAAAAGTATAGTAACTGCTCAGGGAAAATACTAAGTTTTCCTAATGTCACATTTCTATAGGTGTACTAGTGAGCAGTTTAGATGTAGAAGTATCATACTATACGTGACCTGCCTAAGTGTAAATGAGAAATACAGCTATGCTCTAAGCCATGACCTTGTCTGCCATTCTTTAAAGTTCTTTCCTTAAACCATTGTTTCCTCCGAAATAGGTGGTAAAAAGCATGAAAATGTGTGAATGTGTGCACATTTATGTGTGTGAAGTGATAATAAAGATGTATCAAGATTATTATAATCTGAAAATAATACAGATTTAAATTACATACTTCCTTTTAGTAGAGTAGTTGAGTCAGAGAGCTTTGGTTAATGCAAGCAAGATTTCCACAAGCAAGGTTGTGGATTTCCTGAAGAATTTTTAAATGCTTTATTTGGTAGATTTTTAAAAAATATTCTGATTTTTAAAAAATACTGTGTAATATTATGGGTAGTAACTTTACTTAATTTCTTTTCTTTTCTTTTTTTGAGGTGGAGTTTTGCTTTTATTGCCCAGGCTGGAGTGCAATGGTGTGACCTCGGTTCACTGCAACCTCTGCCTCCTGGGTTCAGGCAATTCTCCTGCCTCAGCCTCCTGAGCAGCTGGGATTACAGGCATGCGCCACCACACCCAGCTAATTTTGTATTTTTAGTAGAGATGGGGTTTCTCCATGTTGGCCAGGCAGGTCTGGAACTCCCGACCTCAGGTGATCCGCCCGCCTCGGCCTCCCAAAGTGCTGGCATTACAGGCGTAAGCCACTGCGCCCGGCTAACTTTGCTTAATTTCATACTCTAGAAGTATGAGGTTACTAAGGGTATGATTAGTCTATAGAGTCCCAGGTATTGAGGGTCTTAGGATTTTCCCTATGAAATCCTGTGAAAAACGAACATAGGCATGTGGTACACCAATTTGCTCTACTTCTGTATCTGCATTTGTTTTCATTCACCCCGTGCTCCTGTTCTTCCCCATCACCCACACACACAGAATAAAGTTATGAGCTGTGGTGCAGAGGATTGCAAACCTCTGTCCTAGTTGACTCATGGAGACTCATGATACCTACCCAGCATGAATAATAATACTGCTTGATTCGACTGTTAGAGCTGTTGCTTTTGCTGGACATTAGAAAAAGCTGGACCATTTTAGTAGCATCTTCCCTAAAGCTTAGGAAAGGTGAAAAGTGTATGAAAAGAGAATTTTATATCTCCATTTAAAAGTGAACAGGATTGCCTTCAGCGCCTTAGACATTGCTATTTATCTGATATTCCCTAAATTTGAATGTAGGGTTTTAGATGTGAGCAAAGTCATTTATACACACATTAGTAGGTGATGGTGGTAGGAAATGAGAAACTCTAGGTGAAGGTAGGAAAAGAAATGAAGGTAGTAGTAACATGGTTTGTTGAAAATTGAAATCAAAAGGACTACAGGATGAACACAGAGTTCTTCCAATGATACTGTAACGCCTCAGTCTGTGGAACCCCATCACCACATCTTACTCTCCCACTACTTGCCCTGTCCATGGGATTCAGTGGCAAAGTGGATTTCAACAGTGGCCGTACTGGCCTGGCATAGCTACTCCTTACATTAAAGTGTTAATTCTGTGTAAGTATCATACGTGGTTCCTTCTCTCTGAGAACTTATTTGTGTTAAAAGCTCTTGCTGAGCCTAACTCTGGATTTAAGAGATTCTGTCTGGCCTGTGTTCCATTTTATTGGACATGTTAAAGAAAAGGTATTTATGTTCTCACACAAAATGGAATTTAGAGAGGTATATCTAGACTATTACCAGCAAAGTTAAGAGTTATCTGAGGCCGGGCACGGTGGCTCATGCCTGTAATCCCAGCACTTTGGGGGGCCGAGGTGAACGGATCGCCTGATGACAGGAGTTCGAGACCAGCCTGGCCAACATGGTGAAACCCCATCTCTACTTAAAATACAAAAAGTAACCGGGCATGGTGGTGCACATTTGTAATCCCAGCTACTCGGGAGACTGAGACAGAATCCCTTGAACCCGGGAGATGGAGGTTGCAGTGAGCCGAGACCACACCATTGCACTCCAGCCTGGGTGACAAGAGCGAAAAACTCTGTCTCAAAAAAAAAAAAAAAAAAAAAAAAAGTTATCTGAATTCAAGTCAGATAAAATTTGAAAGGAACTTAATATTGCTAATTATATTTTCTCAAAAGAGTAAACACCATTTTTTGTGGGGGCCTTTTGATTTTTATAGGATTAGGAAATGGAATTAAATTTGGCTAGTCTTTCCATGAGGAGGATAGCCAGACTGCTGCTTTTTTGAATTCCATGATTATATCCCTGTCCAAAATGAGAAGCCTAATTCCCTTAATGCCTGGGACTCTTGGGTTAGGCACTTTCTCTTTCATGGTGCCAGACAGGCCAGGGAGATCAGTGCATTTCCCTGCCCCAGCACCCCAGGGAAGTGAGCTCAGTGTATGGTGGCCTAGGAGGGGTTGGGCTAGGGGCACTTCATCAGGGGGTGACTCAGCATAGAATGATAAGAATGTGCTAACCATGGATAAATATATGCCCTTGAAAGAAGGTCTAAAGGCTTTACAGCTTTGAAATGGTTATTGTTACGCAGAGAGTCTTGCTTTAATTTTGTGTAGATGTTTATGTGTATAATGTATATTGTAGACAAAAGTCCAGATTATTTCAGAAGTAGTAAAAATTGATGAAACCTGTGACAATGTAAGCTTTATGGATTATGCTGGTGTTTTATAATGATCCAGAAATACCTTACAGGTTATGAGAAAGTTAATTACCTTCAGAATCCTAGTGAGCAGAGGGTATTCAGAAGAAACCGTTATGGAAGAAAGATAGCAAGGACCTGCCCACAGTAGTTGTACTTTCACATTAAAATTGAACTGCAAGAATATTTTTTTCATAGAGAAAATTCAGACCGTTCTCAACATAGAGTGGCCATGGTGGTTTTACAATTGATGTGTGAGGCACCTTCACAGCCCACTTGCCTCCGGAGTGTTCATCTCTGTCCTCATCGTGGGGTTGCTTCCCTTGTAACTGAGCTCACCTTCTCCCTGCTGGGACATCAGTGGAAGAGCTAAAGTCCTGGAATGCCCCATTGGTGTTCAGAGTCCATTTTCATCCAGAAAGATACAGGTCTGCAGGATGGCTCGGCCCCTCGGTCTGACCTGGGAACCCAGTGATCCTATAGAGCAATATTTCTGTAAAAAGGTGCAACCTGAGCTTCAAAAACCAACTTTTAAAAAGAGCACAAGCTTTTGGACACCAGCGGTTGTCTGTGTGCCAGGATGAAATGGAAATGTCCTATCTCTATTTAAAAGTGGACTGCATTGCTGTTATGACCTTGGACATGGCTACTTATGGGTCATTCCCGAATTTGAGTAAAGGAATTTAGATGTGGGCAATATAGTCATTTACATGCACAGTGCTAGTTTGGTTTGCCCTTTCCTCTACATTTGGATTTACTGAGGAAACTTTAACATTTATCTTGAGTTCTAACAATACATAGCTTACAAGATTGGGGCCTCTTGTCCTTCAGGGTCACTTCACAAGGTCAGGCAGTCTCAGTTTTTCCTCCCTGACTCACAGAGTATGGCTCCTTAAACCTCTGCCTTCCAGGGATATGAACATAGGTGGCAGATGGAGACCCTGTGGTCTGCAGCAAACTAACTTGGTGGAGGATGCGTTATGGGATACTTGCCTTTTGGTCTCACACTGGTTTCTTGGGCAGCATCACCAGTGCCCGCTTCCAAGAATGTTGACTTAAAAGAGGGCTGGGTGGGAATGATGAAGAAAAATAAGCAGCATTGTTGCAGATAGTGTTGGCTGCAATGGTTGCCTGCTAGGCCAATGAGTCACACACTTAGGTCACTCATGAAGATGTTTTAATGTAAACTTTTAAAAAGAAAAGACAAGTTTTCTTTAAAGACTTTTATGTTGATATTTCAAAAGAGAAGCATCAAAGTGACCATCTTGGGGAAAATAAGAACTTTGCAGGATGCCTTTATACTTATTTTGAGCTTTGGTTTTGTTTTTATTTTGAATTACTTGTTGGGGAGGAGGAATATATTGCAATGGCTCTGATACTTAGGGCCTGTAAGGGTATCCAAGCTGGCCCTGAGTCAGTGGGCAGGAGAATGAGGGCTCTGGGGACTCCTCAGTCTCCAGTTTTGCATGATGCCTCGGTGGCAGCAGCATTGCACCCGCCCAGTATGCAGACTAAATGCATGAGCCCCTTGCTTGATGCCCCACATAAAGCCAGACCATGGGGAGGTTGCAACCAACTTTTATTGTTGCCTTGTAGTGTCTTGCTGGTTCTTTCTTTTCTCTTTAAACATAGGAGCCACTTTTTAGGAGACTGGACATTGTGAGCAAAGCATTTTAACTTGCCAATTTTCAACTAAGCTAAATTCTGCATTTGCTTAACTAACCTGAACCTGTGTCCACTCTCCTTTGAGTGCACCGTCTTACTGTGCACTCTGTTTTCCAACTTTCTAGATATGAAAAATGCTTGTTCTATAGTAGGGTAAGAGCTCACACACCCAAGGCAGCAAGATAACTGAATAGAGCAAGGCTTTTTTGCCACTTTGGCAAAGGCCAGTCCACTGCTGTAGAACTGGTATAAGCCTGAAGGGAAGTAGCTACGAGACTTTCCATTTTTCTTAATTATCCCAATAGGCCGCTTCACGGAAGAGGCCTCCCTGTAATAATTTTCACCTAATGAATTAGCAGTGTGATTATTTCTGAAAGAAGACAAATTGGGCCGCAGAGTCTTCTTGTGATTTAAAATGAACAACTCAAAGTTTCTTTTGGTCTTCATCAAAGGACATACTCTAGGGGGTATGTTATGAAGACATTCAAAAATGTTAGCTGTTCTATCTTTCAATTTCAAGTTATTCCGGAGACTGCCTCCATGTGAGTTAATTACTTTGCTCTGGAACTAGCATTATTGTCATTATCATCACCATTCTCTCATCATCATCTGATTAATATTGTGGATTTTCCCCCTCTGCTTGCATCTTCTTTTGACGCACTCTGGAAGAAATGTCAAGAAGAGAAGGTTTGATCCTACTCAGCAAGGCCCCATCTGAATCAGCTGCGCTGGATGGACACCACCTTGCACTGTTGGATTCTGGGTATGACATACTCGCAGCAGTGTTGCCGGAACTATTAAGTTTGCAAACAAAACCTTTGGGTGGTAATGACTACGGAGCTAAAGTTGGGGTGACAAGGATGGGGTAAAAGAAAACTGTCTCTTTTGGAAATAATCTCAAAGAACCCCTTTCACCACCTGTCAATAAAGGGGGAGGGGGCAAAAGACCATGCTATAAAAAGAACTGTTCCAGAATCTTTTTTTTTCCCTAACGGACGAAGGAACAACACACACACACAAATTAAGTGCAATAAAGGAATCATTAAAAAACATAGTAAATGATTTTTTTTCCCTCAGCCTGCTGGCACTTAATATCTTCTAAATGATTTGGCATGATTTTTTTTTCTTTACTACCGATGACAAACTCCAGTGGCATGAAGATCTAATTTTCGAAAGGGTAAAAACTGCATGGCATATATACAACAAGCTAGCAAGCCAATTCTCAGCAAAACCTGCAACAGAATTCCTAAGGTGAAGATGACAGATGAACACACAGAAGCTGCCTGGGCCTCTTCACTTAAACACGTCCCCACACCCCATCCTCTCGGAGCCCCACTACTTACCCCCCACCTCCCACCCTCTATAATCCCCACTCCCCACTGGAGACCAGACCAGGGCAGAACTCCACGGACCTTGCTCTTGTTGATTCACTTTCCCCATTGTGTTTTCTCCTGGACTGAGCATCCTTTGGAAATGGGAGCTGGAATTTGAACAATGATGCTATTGTATAGTTGTTTTATAAATGTAAATATGGAAATAAGAGATTTTGACACATCATTTCCACTTGTCTGTATTGAGATATTTTCCTTGTAAAGGGTCTCTGTAAACTTGAGTTTATTTTTTGCTCCCCATCTTTTTTGTTTCTTGTCTCTCTTTCTCTGTCTCTGTCCTTCTCTCATAATATGTTATACAATGACTCTTGGGCTTGCTTAAAAAGACAGATGTAGCCACAGATGCAGGGAGTTTGGGCACAAAACAAGTGCAGTTTAAAGTTGGTGTGCATTAAACCAAAAATAAACAAAAGGGGGGGACACAAACAACAAAATAACCCATATCAAAGACACAAAATTAAGTAAGTGGAAATATATGTACTAAGTCTCAAAAATTTTTTGATGTCATTATAAACCTATGTATATAATGTAAGAAAGTAGACACCCTTTCAAATTAATCACAAAAGTGCCAAGCTCATGATTTTGGTTTTCGGTGTTGACAATTTTCTTTCCCTGTCTTTAATGTGAAAGGAGGATAAACTTCAAGCCTTAAATAAAAAAAAAAAATTTAAATGTTAAAAGCTTGGAAAAAATTAAACTTTCCATTTTATTTGTGTTTGTTAGCGTCAATATTTCATCCATGCTTATTTTCCTGCCTCAAAATATATATGGTAGAACCCTATTGGAAAAGTGGTAATGGGAATAGAAGGAGCAGTTACCTTTGTATCCACGTTGTTAACATAGGATTTTATGCTGTGCCGTGCTTTCAAGAAACCTTGTTTGACCTCCGGCATTTTACTGATCAGTGGACCATTGCACTGGATTGTAATGGGATTCTACTATATACAAATCCACATTCTTCTTCTCCCTCTAGCCAGATTTGCAGATGTAATCTGGGCTTTCCAAGTCCCTCTGAGTTTCCTTCACTTTTACTGATTTTTTTCTTCTAAATATGGTCAAGATAGCTTCTGTCACATGTTAAATAAATAAGCTAAAGAAATTCGGTCCCAGCTTTGTTTTAATGTACAAACCTGTATGTGATCACTTCAGTGAGCATCCATCTATAGATGGGCTTTAGTAAAGACTGTCCCAAAGAGCCCCTACTTCTCTAATGCCCTTTTTTTTTTTTTTTTTTTTTTTAAGGAAAAGGACATGCAGTTTTACTCGTCACTTCTTTATGACACCAAATCCATTGCTAGATTTAGCTCTTGGTCCCTTTTCAGCAAGATTCATGTTATCAGTCTTACAACTTTGATTTTGGAAAGTTGGAATGCACTGCTTAACACAGTGGATTTTTTTCCCCCGAGGTGTCTATCACTGGGGAAGTACCACAGTCATAGAGCAGAAACTTTAATTTCTATTTTCTACAATAGACCATCACCAAACATCTTACTATGTTGTTGCTTTCTGAGTAATAGGTGCTATACAGGTAGGCGGGCTTTCTCTAGGACTAGCTGTACATTTATATTGTAATAACAGGGCTATCTACAAGGCCTCTCAGCCTTACTCCTGGCTTCATAGGACACAGGTAGCATCCCTCTAGTTAGTGGCAATGGCTCTTTCAGCTCGGAGGAAGCTTGGAGGAAACTCAGATTACTTGGTATCTTTTCCTGTTGCTGCATTGCTTAGTGTTTCCTTGTTGCTGGTTCCTACTCTCTAGTAGATACTAAGCTGCTGCGAAGTACACCATACACATTTCACTGAGATTCCAGAGGCACCATGGTGACTTAACAGAAATAAAATCGTGGTGGTTACAAAACAATTTAAATCTCTATTGTTAACTTTTAAGCATTTCACAAACAACATTGTAAATGTGCGATGTTATGTTTTAAATCAGACCACAGTGGTCCCCAAATATTATGTACATATGGCAAATGTCAGTGTAACTTTTTGTTACACTGGCAATTTCATAGGTAATCGAACCTATGCTCCAATGTTAAAGTATTTGTGTATATGTAAAATACACAAGCTTTAAGCTATGTGTGTATGAATATGAAAGATAATGCAACCATATCAATCGTAAAAATGGATTATAATTATTTTTGATGGTATTAGGTTATGTAGTTTCAAACTCTTTGCTGTATTTTCTTTTGCACATGCCATTCATTTGCTAATTTTTGTGGTGTGGAGATTCCTTTTTATTAATTTGAGCCCAAAGCACAAGTGTATCACTGTTTAATGTTACCCAACAAGAGTTAGTGTTAAGTGATGATCAAGTTCCCATTTCACCTGCTCTACTTTTGCTGCGTTAATTAATGACACCTGGATGAGGAGACATGCGCTAACTTCATTGCTCATCTGGGATAGTGCATGAGCCCATTAGAGCTACTCCTACTAGATAACTGAGCAGTACACATAAGTGCATGTTATGAAACATGAATCACATAGAGCTGTGGAGTTTTACCAAGTGGTGTGTGTGGTTTTTGTTTTTTACTATGCAACGATGGGAAATGCACAAACTTTTCAAAGACTAGTGTCTGAAGAACTTTACAAACAATACTTGAATCCTTTCTTTAAAGTTATCCCATCATGTTTTATAGTCATTGTTGCTTCCATTGTTAATTTCCATTTTTAAGTGCTTTGTAATTTTTTTAACTGCACTACCTGAAGTTTTGTTTGAAATTAATAAACTCATTCATATCTTGTTGGCTGCCTATGAATGGAGATTCAGTAGTCATTGTATGCATCTTTAAGTCAAATGTGTATTAAAAGTTTCATTAACATAGAATGTCGTAGCTTTATACTTTAATCAGTTCTTTTAAACCCCTTTTCTGTGTCGTCTTACATTGCTGATTAAATGGCTGTGTGCCTGATATCATCAGAGTTTTAGCATGGATCCAAAGGCTCACTGAAAATTTAAGCAGTCAGTGGCACAAAACAAAATCTCTGATTATTGATAAATATATGCCTGATTAGGATTCAGTTTCATTGGATTCATTGGACTCTTTTGCTTCTTATAAATCAGAAAAAACCTACCTTAGGATCGATTATAGGTTTTTTTGTTTTTAGTGTCTCCCTTCTGAGTTTTAAGAATGGATAGCTAGTAATCACATCCACACTTTGAACCTGGTACCAAATGTATGATCAAGCAACAAAGAAAATAGAAGGAAATCTGGTTATATAAATTGTACTGTAGGCCGGGCGCGGTGGCTCAAGCCTGTAATCCTAGCACTTTGGGAGGCCGAGACGGGCGGATCACGAGGTCAGGAGATCGAGACCATCCTGGCTAACACGGTGAAACTCCATCGCTACTAAAAAATATAAAAAAAACTAGCCGGGCGAGTTGGCGGGCACCTGTAGTCCCAGTTACTCCGGAGGCTGAGGCAGGGGAATGGCCTAAACCCGGGAGGCGGAGCTTACAGTGAGCTGAGATCCGGCCACTGCACTCCAGCCTGGGCAACAGAGCGAGACTCCGTCTCAAAATAAATAAATAAATAAATTGTACTATGAAAAACATTCTAAGGAAGGCATTTCTTCACAGCTCCCATGGAATTGGTCACCAAATTATATCCTTTCTTCAAGAATGTCTTCAATATGTCTCCTCTCCATCCCATTGCCATGCCTTGATTTGGCCTTAACAGACACATATCTCACATGTATCTACAGCACTGACACACAGTTGCTAATCTGACCACATCACTCCTTTGATTAAGCATTGCAGGGCTTTTCATTTCCTGTAAGTTAAGGCTCAAACTTAATAACACAACGTAAATTCCTGCCCACCTCTCATGATCTCAAACCTGTTTCTTTTTGTAGCCTCATTGACTCATCCTCTTGTAGTTGCCTTAAAGGCCCCCTAGAGGAACCTCTTGTACTCAAGGCCCAACTATCTTATTTAAATGTTACATCCGTTACCCATAATTCTTTTGTTTCCATGTCATTTCATGTAATAAATATAGAAACACTTTAAAATAGCATGAATATTATACTTAAAATTAGAAAGCTTATTAGAGTATTTGAGTGTTGTTTATGTTTGACTTTAAATGATTTGTTTTTGTGTGTGTTTTCCTTTAAGTCATTCTGTTTTTGAGGATGACGTTGAAATGAGTTCTACTCCATGCTTCCTTGGTAACTGGTTGAGAAAGGTGACCCAGAAACTCCCTAGATAATAGAGCAGCAAACCTAGAGTTAAAATTTGATGTGAATAAATAGATAATCCATATGCTTATGCTGGAATTCCCAAGTAACTTTTAAAATTTAAAATAAGTGCCCTTTAGTTTAATGTGCAAAGGTTAGGGAGTTCCACTCACTAATTTATTCATTCAGCATATTTATTATGTCTCTATGCTATGCCAGGAACTCCTAGGAACTGAAGGAACAAAAGAAAATTCTTGGCTTAAAGTTGCTCACAATTTAGCAGGAAGAGACATGTTTAAAAAATTTTTTTCTAGACCCAAGGTGATGAGTAAACTAAGCTACTCTTGTGCTGGGAGTAAAAAGAAGAGCAGTGATGGGTAGGTGGGTGAGGGATGCAGAAGCCTTTCTAAAAGAAGTGAGTTTGGAACTATATTGAAACGTGACAAGAATTCACCAGTCTAATAAAATGGGAAACATACTCAAGGTACAGGAAGCAACAAGTGCAAGACCCAGGAGGAGGCGCCCAGACCCTTGGGTAAGTAGAGCTAAACGTCCCATCCGTTCAGCCTCAGTTTCCTCCCACCTCAGTTCTCTCCTTTCTTCCTATCTTTCTACAAACTCTTGATCTGTAAGAATCCTACAGTAGTCAGGCTCTAAGGACACATGATGAGCTCAATCTTGTGAGCCAGATGCAACGTGCAGTACTATGTGGCAAGTGCCATAATAAACACAAGTATAAGGTGCTTCAGAAGAAGAGAAGAGCAAGGCTTTGTCCCTGATCTTGGGGTCAAGTAGAGTTTCACAGAAGAGGTGGCAGTTGAGCAAGAGGCTGTGCCTGTGCACTTGGGCCTAGTACTGTGATCCCTTATTGTGAGTGAGATTTAACCAGGGCTTGCTCATTTTGGTGGTGGGGCTAGGGGAGTCCATTCATAAATGCCTTGCAAGCACAACAATGCGTAATGCTCAGAATTGTCCTCACCAGATCTCTGAGTGTCTTTTGTCTGTGTGAAGATTATGATCTCTATTAAAACCTTACATTTTTAGACAGTTTTCCACTGATGTGCTCATGATGGATCAGTCTTAAGTGCTTGAGGCTGTCAGTAATGACAAAGAGGGCTTCTTGACCTGGCCTGTGAGCCTCTAATATTTTCTTAGCATAAAAATTCCTAGCTAATCTCAGTCTGGAGTGAGGGGATGGGTAAGAAGAACAATAAAAGGTTTTAAAGCATCATTTAGTGTATCCTTCCACTAATTAGGGGTCAACATTTTCTAAGTGTAGTTGAGCTTCTGGTGAACCAAAATTAACATTTGCCTATCTGCTAAGCTTTGGAGAGAAGGTTATCATTCCTCAAACTTTTCAGAAGCCCATCCACAGGTCTGGCTCCTTGACTAGAACAAGTTTTTGGCCATGTATGTGACTTCTGGAGAGAAATGAAATGCCTTGATTCTTCTTCACGTGAAAACAGATTTCCTGCTGATGCTCCTTTGGCAGTTGATTGCTTGTGCACACACGTGTCCTGGTGTGATTGTAAGGACTGTACTTGTGGCCCTATGGAGTCCATCCTTAGGAGAACATTTGTCTGACTGTGATGATCATTGAAAGCCAAATTCGCCCAGTAAATCAATTGGTCCTACAAAAACAAAGCAAAACAAAACAAAATCTGAATGATCAAGAGTATATGAAGAGTTCTTCAGATCTCTTTGGAGCTTTAAATAGCTTCCAGCCTTCAGGAGGTAAATGAGGTTGCAGCAGAGGTTCTTGCTTCTTTAGGCCCAGAACTCAGAGTAAGGACAGAAAAAGGTAACTTGGATTATAAATGACATCAGGGAGGCCACTTTTCCAGCAACAGACACAACCTTGTAGAGCCATTGTAACTCCTGTAGAGATAGCAAATGGATTGCATGCAGTAGCTTTAAACTGCTTTTCCTATATAGATGAAGTGGCTACAAACCAAAGGTCATAAATGCTAAAGTCTACAGGAGCCAGTCAGTTACTAAAATGAGCCGAACAGGGCAATGGAGGAGATGAGAGGGCTGAGGGAGGCTGACCTGAGTTGGAGACCATACAACTTGTCCTGAAGGGAGCAGTCTCTACTCAGCTCTAGAAAATTGTCACTATGAGGGAAAGTGGGCCAGTCATTGCCCATTCCATTTATTTTTCTAGAGAAGTCAGAAATCTAGGCCCTTATATAAAATTTCCTTTCTAAAAAATTATATTTTTTAAACACTGTGGATCAAGATGGTGAAAACAGAACCTGTCTTCACATAGGATTGGGTCTACTGGCACCTAGTGGGGTAGCTTCTACATAAGATAATAGGGCATTTTTATGTCTGCCCTCTGATAGCTCCAATGAGTATGCAGACATGGCCTTGCTTCCAGTGAGGGTTACAGGGTGCCCTGTGAAGGCTTGGGCAGACATCCTCATGAATTGCCACTTACAGTGTTGACTTAACTATTGTTTTGTGTGGATAGGAAGCAGTCACTGAAAGCCACCAGTATCAAAGAGAGCGTGCCTAAACATACTTTCTTATGGTGGTGCTTTGTGTAATAACTAAGCTTACTCAGATATGCTAATTTATGGGAGATGAACTAAACCTACATTGGCAAATTGAGGCTCATTCCTCAATGCTCATTGAGGCTTTGTCTCAGTGTTCACTAAGGCAGTGTAGTGGCTGCCTGGATCCTGAGCCAGTGATTAGAGAAAATGCTGTGGTTGATTTTGGTTGTCTGCTACCTGGCAACCGGAAGTACCTGACTAGGTCCGCATAAATCTTAAAATGGTGTTCCTTTCTGACTTTGATTCTCAAGGATATTTGCAGATAGGGATGAATCAGTAGAGCTAACTAATCCAGAGGCTCCACATAGTATACTGGATTCAGGGAAATAAAGGATTCTTGAACAAAGAAATACAGAAGCTGAAAAATCCAGCAGGAAGGAACAACTGTTTTTTTTTTTTTGAATTATTGTTGTTTTCTGATAATTATGAAATCCTACATGTTTATTGGAGCAAATTTGAAAAACCGAAAAATTTAAAGAAGAAAGTTGAAATCATTATCATCACCACTTTATAATCTCCATTAAAAGTATGTTAATTTCTTGAACTCATCATTTTCTTGGTTTTTCCCATGAACACAAAAGCAACCTACAAAGTAGGCAGCCAGTGGTTCTTGCAGGATTTGTGTTGACTTCCTTGCTCATGTGTGTGTGTGTGTGTGTGTGTGTGCGCGTGCACATGCGCACACGCGTGCCATGTGCCATGTTCTGCTGGCTTCAAAAAAGGATGGGACAGTATCTTCAGGGCAAAGATGTACTTTCTAGCCTCTTGGTTTTTGGCTTAATCTGTTTATACTACTAGGAAGACTGCTCTTGCCCACCACGGCCCAGTCAAATTCTTGTGCATCCCCAAGTGTCACTTCAAATATGTACTACCCCTTCATGAAGTCTTTCCTGATCTTTTTAAAGCTTTCTAGAGAGCTTTAAAAAGCTCTCTACAGAGAACATGGGAGCTCCAGTTAGTGGTAGAGCTGGGATGAAATCCCAGGTATTTTAGGCTCCAGAGCCCATCCTCTAATTACATCAGTTTATTGCCCTTCTTTTATTCCCATTTTATTGATTGATTGATTGATTGATTGAGACAGGGTCTCACTCTG